TATATAAAACATATACATTTAAAATATATAAAGTTGAAATATGTAAATATAAATAATCCATTACACAATATTAAAGAAAGAAAATACCCAGAAAGGATGACATCTTGCTTCCTGTACTTGTGCTGTTTTGAAGACCATTGTGACTTGTAAGAATCATTTTTGCCTTCACCGTACATTAGTATACGTCTTATTTCCTATGTTATGTGTGCCTAATGAAGGAACAAATTACCTTTCCACTTGTAGGAAATATAGGAAATAGATCAACTTTTAAAGGGTCCAATGAACTCACACTTAGAAAAACTCTCAATTTATGCCTTTATAATACACTTCCCTCAATATCTACTAGTATACAGTCATTATGAAGTGTAACTCCTGGGAGGAAAAATCCCCCAAATTATTTCAAAATAGAACTAAAAACTTTTCAAAGGGAAGTAATAAAACAACCCAAAAGTTAACCCACAATCTTGTAATGGTTGATATTGCTATTAGAAGAAAATATAAAATACATCCAAATGTTTATTACACAGTGCTTTTATATAGCTTATACACTGATTTAAATTTCTTACCTGAAGTTTACAGCTGGACCTATAAAAGCAATCATTTGCCATTAGGTACCTGAACTTAAATAACCCCTGGATGGGTAAGTGTGGTATGATGTGAAATATGATCTTAAGTAATCAGACTTGTTTACTCTTAGCATTTCTCCTGAATTGCATTGTTAAGCAAATTAAGCTTTGCTAAAGGTATCCTTCAACTGCTTCCTGGCAAGTATTTGCATTGAATATTGCCTTTGCTATCATGGTCTCCACTGCTCCCATCAACCAAGAATGTCAGATGTATCTGAAATAAAGACTGGTAATGATTAATAATCTCAGTTTATTATTAAGAAGTATGTAAAATTAATATATCTCAAACTAATGCCACATAAAATTATTATTATTGATTATAAAAATAAATTTTAAAAAATCAGGGTGTCTTTTTTTTTCTGAGTTGTATAATGATGAGAGTTGATTATGTTCATTCAAATGTAGAAACCACAGCAGAGTTGAATTACTCTGAATAATGAAGAAATAACTCTGAAAAATCTTTTTTTAAAAAAAAATTAATGTATTTTAAAAGGTACTAATTTAGATAATTAAATATGTGTTTTAAAGTTTTATATTTTCATTATGCAACATCCCTGTGAATGATAACCTAATATATAAAGAGCCAGGGTCCATAAAGTCCAAAAAGACAGAAGGCTCAACCGAAGGCCAGGTGGGGGGTGGGTGGGGTAGGGCAAGGCAAGGCGGGCGCAGCAAGGTCGTTAGCCTCTGCCCCAGGCAGTCCGCTGCCTCAGTGGTTGACTCCAGTAGGACCTAGGCCCTCCCCTCTGTGGACAGGGGCCCTTTTCCTGATACCATGTTTCCAGGATCTCTCAGACCCGTTTGTGGAAGTCAGGGAACACTGCGTGTGGTCATCCTGCCCTGGGGACTCCCACTGCTGACAACAAGGTTGGGCTTCTGTGGGGCCCCCCGGTCATGTGATCCAGGGTCGCTACATCCTAATGTTGACTCTGGCAGGACTTGGGCCGGTCCTCTGGGTATCTGAGGTCCTGCTCCCTATACCAAAGCCCCTGAGTCTCTGAGACCCAGATGCAGAGATCGCCTGTTGTTGTCATCCCACCCTGGGTAGGATGATTCTGTTCTAGGGTTCAGGGTCCCTCCCTCCTCCCTTATGTTCCTCACCTTGAGCCCTGGAAAGTCCTGGGATCCTCCCTCTGTTGACCCAAGGCCAGACTCCTCAGATCAAGGCCTCACTGCCCTGAGTCCTCTGCAGGAAGTCAGTGTACGTCAAATTTGGTACCAAGCCCAGCAATTCCAAAACCTCATGGCAGGGGCTGAGATGGATTCGTAGGGTCCTTTAGCCCTGCCTCTGATGCATACTTTGACAGGGCCTGGGCCTCCTGTCCTCTATCAACCAGAGTCTGCAACCCTCAGACCAAGGGTCTGACTACCCAAGTTCTCTGAGGAGGTGGGGCGGGGGAGGTGAAGTTTTCAACATACAAACAGGAAGCCCAACTTCGGGAATTTAAATTTCTGCCTCATTCACCTTATACTGTTAAACCTCACATGTAGATACTATACCTACTATGATCACCCCCAAGTTTTTAAACAAAGCTAAGATAACCAGTTGAGCAACTCTATTCATTAAAGATAGCCTAAAGGCAATGATTTCAACCTTGAAAACAGAAAGCTGGGGAGAGCCACAGTGACAGTGGAAAAAGGGGGGTGAAATGGAAAATTTCTCTGGTAGTAGCCAAGAAGTGAATGGTTTTCAAGGTGCATAAGAGCAACCTGTACTAGGGAAGCAGGATGATTCACATCTCCACAGAGACAGTCACATTACCTTGAAAAGATTTTAGGTAAATCTTATGAAAACTAGCTAAGGGTGAAGGATGGGAAAGAACAATGAACCACTGAAATGGGTGGCCTAGGGAAACGTTTGGAGGAAGCATCATCTCCCTACCATGTGACCCATCAGAATTGAACATGGGGTCAATAAATTTGAGAAGGCTTAGGAGTGCTAAAGAAATGCCCCCTTTCTCTTACCAAAGCATCTCGGCCTCCTCACCCCTTCCCATGCAAGTGTCAGGATGGTGCTTTATGATGTCTAAGTTTCTCTCCCAGAGCTACCATTAGCTGGCAGAGAGGATTCCTGATTAATTAAAGCCTAGGGGTGTGGCCTCTCATTGTCCTAGAGAAAAGCATATGTTCAAGAGGCCTGGGGTAGGGCCCTGGGAAATTTTGACATGGTGAAGATGACCAGGAAACCACCAAATCCTAGCACAGTTATGTAACAACCAACCCCATTCACCAAAAGAAGGTAAAAGAGGAAGAAGTCCTGTTAACCCAGGTCCAGTGTCCAGGATGCAAGGACCACACCCAAACTTCTCCTCCTCTTCTTTAGTGGCATATCCCCAAGACTCCCTGGTCTTGCCTGGCAGATTCCATCCTCACCCCATAATTTTTCTCATGAAGACTTTTTTCCCTTTCATCCCAGCCATTTCCTCACAAACCAATGTCCTTCTGCGCTCACTCTGTTGTCCTTCCAGGTACTAAAGACATCCATGGGGATGCAAAGATGTCTTTAAGGGAGTTCAAGGAAAGGAGCCTTTCCAAAAATTCCTACCCCATCAAGAAAACCTACAAAAGCTATAAAGCCAACAATATGTGGCCATTATCACAGGCCAAATGAGGAACTGAATAAAAATGATCCAGAAAAAGACCAAGACAATGTAGAAAAATTCACCACCTCGAGTGATAACTTGGGCAGCCAGTAACTTCAGAGCAAGGCCAAAGACCTCAGAACGATCTATGACGTTTCTGAAGTCTGGCCCCCAAGAAATGCTGACAGTGTGGAAGCCAAATTTTACACCTACAGGGTACACCAATAGTGATGATTAAGATAAAATTAATTAGTGGTTCACTTCCAGTGTTAGCATAATCTGCAGACAATTTTTATTAAACATCTATACTAATAAAAGGGTAATATGCTCTTTAGACCAGGAGACCTTTCGGGAGACCTTCTCGATGTCCTTCTGGACAAAGCCATGGTGACGGGGCTGAGGCAAAGACAGTTAAGGGTGATCAGGCCAGCAGGGGGGGCAGTTAGGGGAGATCAGGACAGTGGGGGGGGGCAGTTGGGGGCGAACAGGCCAGCAGGGGGCGTAGTTAAGGACAAGAAGGCTGGCAGGAGGGCAGTTTGGGGTGAGCAGGCTGGCAGACAGAGTGGTTAGGGGCCGATCAGGCAAGCAAGCATGTGTGTGGTTAGGAGCCAGCGTCCCAGATTGTGAGAGGGATGTCCGACTGCCGGTTTAGGCTTGATTCTGCAGGGATCGGGCCTAAACCGGCAGGAGGACATCACCCGAGGGGTCCCAGATTGGAGAGGGTGCAGGATGTGCTGAGGGGCACCCTTCCCCCCATGCACAAATTTCGTGTATCGGGCCACTAGTTATCATCGTTTCTTTGTCCAACTATTTTATTTTTTTAATATATTTTATTGATTTTTTACAGAGAAGAAGGGAGAGGGATAGAGAGTTAGAAACATTGATGAGAGAGAAACATCGATCAGCTGCCTCCTGACACCATCTACTGGGGATGTGCCCACAACCAAGGTACATGCCCTTGACCGGAATTGAACCCAGGACCCTTCAGTCCGCAGGCTGACATTCTATCCACTGAGCCAAACCAGCTAGGGCTGTCCAACCATTTTAAAGGAGGAAAAAAGAAATAAAGTTAGTATGTCTTTTGCCATAAAGTCCCCAAACTGTCATAAGTACTGGAATAGAACATGAACACTTATTATATTAACTGGCAAACAAATGTGACAATAATTTCATACAGATTTTAAGTGGTGGCTGAGAATCTTGAGGGACATCTCAGCAGCAGAGGTCCCCCTTAAGTAGTGTGGGGCCTCAACCCTGTTCTGGCCTCCCAAGTCTGGAGCACTGGAGCCAGAAAGGGGAGCATTCATAACATCTGGCTGTAAAAATCAGTGGAGATTCTGCTCGTCACAGAGGGACAGGAGTCTGCTAGAAACCCAGGCACCCTCTATAAGGGCCAACACACAAAATCTGCTTTGCACTCACTTTCCCTGAACTCCATCAGAGGGAGCATGCCTCAGAGTGGACTAAGATTGTGCAAAGAGAGACTGGGTTGTGTGGCTCCGGTGAGAGAGCTGAAGGGACAATTGTCAGGGTCCCTGCGCTGAGCCCCTCTGACACACTGCCCACAACCACCATCTTTTCTGTGTCAAGCACTCCGCTACACATTGCATCAGACTGGAGGAACTCCGGACTCCCTGTTGCTCTGCCTAGTCACGATCATGCACTGTGGGGGGGGGTCTGCTGCCTGAGCCCATAGTATAGACTTTTTTGAAAGACTCTTGAGGGTGAACGCAGAGGGTATCAAACACTGAGTTGAATGGTTCTAGGGTGGGACCATTTCCCCCGCACTTACCTGCCAGAGCAGCAGCAACCCAATCTGTATACCACAGCAGCACTGTCTCACCATAAGGTAAACACTAGCTTCACTCTCCTGAATCCCGTTGGCCCCTCCCTGCTAGGCTTGCACTCAGGAATATTGTTAGCTGGCTGTGGCCAGCCTGAGCCCACAGTGCAAAATCGTTGGGAAGACTCTTGAGCAGATATGTGCAAACTCTGGGAAAGACAAAGTTGTGTGGCTTTTGGGTGAGGGTCATATTTCCCTCGCATGTGCAATCAACACCCCGTTTCTGTGCAAAGCCCTCCCTTCACATGGCTAAATTTTGGTCTGTTTGGGACTAATAAACATTGCTGACCTCACCCTGATGACTTTATGACACTCAATCCTACCACAAAGGTCTGTGGGCACCCAACTGGTGGCAGCTGGCCTTGGTGTGCTCTTAGACTATTGCTGAGTGTCCTCAGACTTAGGACTGGCAGGGAGTTTGAACCCATATCAATCTGATGAACACAATTCACCCCTACATGATGCCTCATTTAGAACATGTTCTCACTTAACTTGTGTACTACCACCAGAGCCTCTTTCAATGATGGAGCCTGTCAGCTAGCAGATAGAGGCGGATTTTGGGTGCCTTGGGCCTTTTGTTGACCTGCTCCCATGCTCAGTACTGGTGGAAATTGGCCTCGGAGTGTAACTTGGCCACTGCCATGCATAGCCATGCCCAGCAGAGCACCCACAAACTGTGGATCACTTAGTAGCTCCAGACAGGTGGCCCAGGGACAGACACAGGCAATGCCTGACATTGAATGCACTGGAGTTCCTTTCCAATGGCCCCAGAATCAACACAACTGGTGGCAGGATACAGACCACATCAGAGCATGACCCAAATAGATCTATATGCTGCACATACAAAAGTAGATCTCAGCAGTCACTAGAATCTGCTCGAGCGAATTCTGATTTCTGGGATTAGCATCTGCACAAGAACTCACAGTGTGGTTACAGTTGATTCTCATAGTCAGCTAGTCAGCTAGTCAGAGAGGCAACCTCATCCATGGATAGGCCAGCAGAAATCAAGATAAATCTACAACAGAAATCAAGATAAATATATTCACATAACCCACACAAGGGACATTCCAGGGGACTGTGCCACTGAGGCCCACAGACACCTACTACATAAAGACAACATGCCAAGACTGGAGACACAGCATATCTACCTAATACACAGAAGCAAATATAGAGAAGCAGCCAAAAATAAGAAGACAAAGAAATATTCTCCAAATAAAAGAACAGTATAAAGTGCCCCAAAATAAACAAAATAAAATGTAGGCAAGCAAGCTACCAAATAGAGAGTTCAAAAATTGTTATAAGGATGTTCAAGGAAATTAAAAGAAGGATGGATGAAATCCATGAGAATTTAAACAAAGAGAAAGTAAGTATAAAAAGCACATAAAATCCATAAAAGAGAACCAGTCAGAGGTGAAGAATACAATATCTAGAACAGGGGTGGGCAAACTTTTTGACTCGAGGGCCACAATGGGTTCTTAAACTGGACCAGAGGGCCGGAACAAAAGCATGGATGGAGTATTTGTGTGAACTAATATAAATTCAAAGTAAACATCATTACATAAAAGGGTACGGTCTTTTTTTTTTTTTTTAGTTGTATTCATTTCAAAAGGGCCGGATCTGGCCCACGGGCCGTAGTTTGCCCACGGCTGATCTAGAATGAAGAACACACTAGAAGGAATTGACAGCAAGCTAGATGAAAGATAGGTTCCAATTAGTGATTTTGAAGACAAGGTATCAGAAAACACCCAATCTGAAGAACAAAAAGAAAAAAATAATTTTTAAAAAGTGAGGATAGTCTAGGGACATTTGGGACAACATGAAACATAACAACAGGCACATCATAGAAGTAACAGAATGAGAAAAGAGAGCAAGAGATGGAGAACCTATTTGAAAAAAATAATGATTGAAAACTTTACAAACCTGGTGAAGGAAAAGAACACAAAAATCTAAGAAGAGAAAAGAGTTCCAAATAAGAATCCAAAGAGCCCTCATCAAGATATATCATGATTTGCGGGAAGTCACCACTTTCCCAACACTGTCATAAGAGTGCACCAAGGAACGCGGAAGGCTGAAGGACCTTGGGCATTAGCAGGCTGATGCTCAGCACTGATTGTTCCGTAATGAGATATGGTTGCTTGAAGCAATTTCCTGACCTAATGGCCTCAAAGTGAATGTTTACTGAACCTTACGGATCTTTACTGATCTTTATTGACTTTAGAAACCATCTATCTGCTACCTGTTTGCCATGCTTTACTGAGGGCAAGATGTTTATCTAAAACTGAATAAAAATCAGATAAGGCCAGGTTTCAGTGTGCCTCACCAAGAGAGAGGTCTCCACCTCGCCCCCCATACCTTCTAAATTCATATTTATTGTATAGTATTTTCATTTGTGCGTCGGCCCCTCCTTCAGATCCTGAACCCCTGCCTCAAAAGGTTGCGACATTCTGGCACCATGAACAAGAATCTGGAGAGGAAGTGTCACCTGAGCGAAAAACAAAGTGAAAAAGGAAAAGTGGAAATTCACCGGAAAGGTGGGAAGTTCACTGCACACAAAGCCTGTGCCAGCTTCAGAGTCGCTACCATAAGTGGATGAGGAACGTTTTGATTCAGCCAGGTTATTATGGGGAAGAATTTGAGTAAAAGGCAAAAACATCATTGTAAATTTTTAGCTTGCATGCTCAAGGATAAAGGAATTAAGGTGTCAAAAGGTACTGTCTTAAATCAGGCTCAAGGAAAACGAGTGCCCTTGTCATCTTTAACTATGGGGGCTCCTGTTCGAACTGCATTATGCCCACTTCATATTGAGGATCAAAAGTCTGTAACACCTAAGCCCCAGATCCTCCGCCTCTAGTCTGGGAAGGCTCAACAGCTAGAGCAAATGAGGCTAACAGTCCTTTCACAAAAGAGCTCTTTAATGCTTTGTCTGAAAATTACCACGTGACGCCTTGGGACTGGCAGATTTTAGCTAAAACAACTTTAGACACCAGTCGATGCTATGGAGAGCAGAATAGGATAAGATCTGTGAACAACAGGCTGAGATCTAGGCCGCATTCTGGCTGTAAGTCCCAGGCAATGTAAAACATCTGAAAGATCCATGAAAAGAACTCTGATTTATTAAGTCTTGTCTATGTGTTATGCATGCTTGTCTGTTGATTGTTGTCTTATCTGTCTTTTTTGTTTGGTTTAATTTGTTTATTAAGCATGCCTTTAATTTAATTTAATAGAAAAGAAACAGTAGATGTCCAGGCCATTACTAAATTTCCCCAGAGCAAACAGAATGTGGGGGTGGGGAGAAAGAATATGAGCCGTACATGTGGCTGATAACACAGGTTCTAGGATAAATCATTGACAAAGCGAAGTAACTAAAAAAAGGCCCCAGCCCATTAATTACTAGGTGTTTTGGTGATCCTGTAAAATGGATGCCCACTCTTGAGAGTGTTACTAAAAGTCTCATTTTCACCATGTTTTTATTTCCCAGTCCGTCATTTGAAATTTGGATAGATGAGACATTTCTCACAATTTAGGGATGCATCTGGGATTTGTATACCCATGAAGAGAAAAAGGCTAGCTTAAGAGAAGGTGCGCCTCCCCCGATTTTGGGTGGCCTCTTGGCCTAGGCCCCATCTCTTCACGGATGCTATGGAATAAACCCAAGATTGTTTTTATTTAAAAGATGGCAAAAATGACACAAGGAAAACATACAGGCTGTGTTTGGGCAACAAAATTAATGTTTCCATGATAAAGGACAGTTCTTGGATAATAATGGACCTCATTCCAAGGTTGCCTCACAGGTGTGGCGGGGTGGGGGGGAGAGGCACTCCTGTTTTTATAAAGAAAAATAAAATAATACTTTAACATTAAAGCCACTGAAATTCAGTAAGTTATCTCTGTTACAGAATTTGCCAAAAAAAAAATGCCTTGGATAATAATAATTGGCTTTAAAATCTCAAAGTTGTTAAGGCAATAATATACATAACTAAAATGATAGGTATATGGTAAATCTTTTTCAGTGGTAATTATATATGACTAAACATATATAATTACCATTATTTTTCCAAATTCTTTGGTAACATAAAACTTTGGCGTTTGCTGAATTAAATAATAAAAATTATTAAATATCTAGGTATTTAAAAATGACAAAATACTAAAATATTAATCTGAGTTTATCTCATGAAAAATCTAGAGGATAGATTTGATTCTATTAATTGAATATGTCTTTTATTTTATTTGAAATATATCCTTAAAAATGTAAATATATTACCAATCTAAGAAATGCTAAGTATTTAACTTGCCACCTAAAATGTCGAGCTTCCAAAAGTTAAAAATTCAAATTAAATTGGGAAAAATTATATGGTTGCAATAATAAAATGCATAAAGTATGGAAATTTATTTTTAAGAAAATAATTATTACCTTTGCTCTGGAGAAATTAGTAGTTCAAAATATATTGTAGTCCTTGTGTGTACTACATGTGGTAAAGTTTCAACCTAGGATATAATATTTTATTGGCCTGATTAAGAAAAAGGATTAATTCTATGGTCTGAACCAAATTTTTAATATTAAAACCAGTTTAAATTTAACTGATATCTTGTAGAATAATTACAAGAAGTGTATAATATAATCTTTTGGTTATGTATATTTGATAGTCTTTCCAAATTAAATTTCAAGACTTTAATCAAGAGTTGGCCTTGGGACATTTCAAAGGCCCTGAAATGATTCAAAGATTTATTCTCTCTTGTTAAAAGAAATATTTTTGAACTAAATTAGGCCAATCTAATATACTTGAAATCACGTGGGAAGCTTTATCAGATAAAAATTAATAAGTGTATTCTATTTATATACATACTAAAATATGTGCACTCAGGGGGTCCCTCAGCCCGACCTATGCCCTCTTGCAGTGTGGGACCCCTCGGAGGATGTCCACCCCAGTGGGGACCCTCACCCCATGGAGGTTTGGCCAGCCTGGGTGAGGGGCTGATGGCTGTTTTCAGGCTGGCCACACCCCCTTCAGGGTGGGGGGTCCCCACTGGGGTGCCTGG